GTAGTCATAATGATCAATTTTAAAAGAAACATACAGATAAATTCAATCAACGTGATGGCCGCGATAGTATCGCTTCTAATAGTCACCAAGATGTTATATCAAATTAAATATATTAATCATGATAACTGGAATGTCAACTGCACGGTAAATTAAGAATTATTTGCCTTATTACGATAAAAAGCGCTTTCTTTTGGTTCGAATAAATATATAATTTTAAATAATTTTAGATCGATGAGGGCCATCAGCAGTACACGAGTAACAATACTGTTTACAATATAGCCGAATGGTTTGGAATGAGAAAAGCAATTCCGGGTGGACTTCCAGATCTGTTGAAAGGCTACATCGGCATCGTTACTGTGACGACTTTCAGAAAAATCATCAGAATCCGTCAATGGTTTTATCGTCATAATAAAGGAGAAGCATTAGATACTCCTCAAGTAATGTTCCCAAGCATCACCAGAATGGATGCTGACAAGGGAATACCGGAGTGTTTAAAGTTCCTCTTCAACTATGGTTTCTATAAATTCGGCCTCGAAATGTGTCTCATTGGAATTGTCACCCTGATCGGCACGCGATTGGACTTTTACTCCGTTTTGTATAGCATGTGGTTGCTATTATTCTTTTCATTGAAAAGGAAAACTGTGGCACGAATTTGGCCCTGCTTTAGAACTTTCGCCATAATTCTTCTACCTATTCAATACGCAATTGTTGTGGCTCCACCTTCGTGGCTTTGTATAGGTAATGCGATATATTAGGTAAATGAGTCCTTTGATTAAATAAAAAAAAACAATAAATGACTTTTTTTGAATTTGTTTTAGATTATCCTTGGAACAATTCTGAAGTAATGAGAAGATTACAAGAATGGATGTATCTTCCCGATCCAGATTTTCCACCAAATTCGAGAAAACTGATTTGTAAGTCTGACGGAACTTAAAATTAACAGAAAGATTTTGCGATACCTTTGCATAATATTTTCTTTTATTTTGTACTCAGGTGACTTTATCTTGCTAATGATGATCGTGCGGCAAAGTCTAGTCTTTCACATTGAACAACAAGGTTTGCGGCCTGGCAAGGAATTTGTGGCTGGTCACAATTATTCCGTTTTCCAAGATATGGAAAAACCAAATTTTGTGAATCCCGTGAAGGATTACGTGTCGCACATTCATTCATGGTTGGACGTAATTAAACGTGGTGGCATGATGAGTCTCATGTGGGTGACACTGTCGATTATGTTCCTGGCTGGAACGAAAAGAACGAATCTCTTTTCGCTCGGCTATCTCATAGGAGCATTCATATTCCTTTGGCAAGGAAGTAATTTTTACTTGAGACCAATGAAGACAATCTTGAAATGGTGGAACATGTTGATCGGGTACAACGTCATTGTTATTTTCTCAAAAGCTCTTCTTCAGGGTGTGGGTTGTGTCCTCATTAAAGATGTAAGCTTTTCTCAATAATGTTCGCCAGTCATATGTAAAAATCGATTCTTAATTAATATTTCTTTAATTAAATAAGAAAATTTTGACCATTTTGGATTTTACTTTAGAATAATTGCATGAAAATATGATTTAAAAAGTGAAAAATTAATTAACACGGAACACATAACTATAAAAAAGTAAAAAATGTAAAAATTATTAATTTGTTTTAACACTAGCTCGAACGTTCAGCCTGTTGGCTGGTGCAATTACTGGGTATCGCATGCCTGAAAAAGTTCAAGAGCTCCACTGAACTAATGTTGGATCCCGCCAAGTGTAGTGTCACTAGTGAAGACATCGGCATGGTCTGGGACGGATTGTGTTTCGCCTTTCTCCTGATGCAGAAACGACTCTTCAAGAGTTACTATTTCTTCCATATTGTGGACGAGACGAAAGCCATGAGCATTCTAGCGTCTCGCGGCGCGGAACTGCTTGAAGAACTGCATCAGAAACGTATAGAAATCCAAGAGAATATAGAGAAAACCGTTTTAGAAAAATTAAAGTTCAAGATGGACAAGATCAAGGCTAATCAACAGAGGATACAGGGACCATCTTATAAAGAACCTCAGACTCACAAAGTCGGTAAGACTTTTTTTTTATATACACTGTAAATCTTATATAACATTTAAAAGAATATTTTTTATCGAAGTGATCCTGAAGACAACTTGAATATTTCGTCATTTGATAAGCGATCGTAAGATTTTACCTAAGACACGAAGTATTTTCAGTTAAACACCGAATATCACTGAATATTACTTTCCTTTAAAAAAATCTCTGAGTTGCGTTTCAATAATTAATTACTGAATATTTTTACGACAACTATTCTTGATGATTTCTCTCTTCGTCGTCTCTGCCATTCCGTTGTTCTACCATTATCATTTACTATGTGCAATATAACGCCCAATATATCTTTAATGCGTCAAAAAAGAGAGACAAGCACCGCTGGCAAGAACCTCCAGCGTAAGTTCTTGCATATCCTCGGATCACACGCCCCCGCAAGGATATCAAACGCCTCTGGACGAGGACGGTGATGAGCCACCCCCGCTGACGCCACGGGCAGCGTCCTTATTGCAGGCGCCCACGCCGAACTCCGCCGTCATGACGGTCAGCCTCGAGGGCTACCTCGAGCCGGCACGTATCTCGTTCGGTTCGCCACCCAGTAGCGAGCTAAATCCTCGAGGACCGTCGCCGGACGAGACATTTCCGGTATTCTCGCCTCCGCCTTACGATCGAGGCCCGGCCGATCGATCGCTAACGTCTTCCATGCGGCATCGGCGTCAATTCAGCTTGCCAACCGGGCCGACGTGGATGAACAGCGATCCGCGCCAGTCGATCATCTCGACGGCCTCCCGTTCCCCGCACTCGCATCACACGTGTAAATCATTCATCGACAACGGTGTTCACGTCGCCAGTGTGCTACTGTTATCTGTACATACGCTTTTCTACGCCTGCACATCTAGATTTTCCGCGAAACACTTTACAGCGTCTGATGTTCGTCTTGTCCTATTAGAAGCGATTTCTAAATTCCAAGTCTCTCTTCTTTAAATAATAGAATATATTGTGTGACAAAATACATTGAGCTAAGAATTAGCTCAAGATACATTCTTGTACATAAATGCTTATTTACAGGTTTGCTTATTTATGCTTATTTTTATGAAGATCGATACTTCATACAGTTCATACGTTTCTCTGTTTCTTTCATTCATTTTTTATATTAATTCTTTCATCTTTCTGTAATAATTTTATTACTACTCTTATTTCTTTCATCGTGATTAATCACTGTATTTGTTATTATTTTATATTTCTTAAAATTTTAATCTTACTATATGTCAACAAAAATTCTAATTTTTTTTTCTATAAATAACGAAGAACTGTCTTACATTTACTGATAAATTATAATTTTTTAGCAATCAACAATGGAATCGAAGGATCCAATTCTGAATAATTGATATAATTTATATATGATAGGCTGTAATATATCATGTGTTCTGTATCAATAGCTTTTTCATTTTCTATATCTTTATTTTATTTTTGTGTCTTTCTATTAGATGAACTCTATCCAGGAACACGGCCATTGTACAAAATTCGTTCACCGAAGACCAACAGAGAGGGTAAATGTACATTTTTTACAGCTGAGCATTGTTCTAACAGCCAATGTTCTCATCCCAGATCCATAATTTTATTTGTATATAAAATATGTACAGTCTAATGTACAGTTAAAAGTAGCTGATGTGTAAATTATATATAATAGTTGATCTATTGGCATTTTTATGTATATTTGTGCGTCTTGTTTGATAGAAGTGTCATGATTGTATTTTGATATAATCATCAAAGATTATAATAAACTATCCACAAATTACGCTCAAACGTCTTTGCACCCTTTTCTAATTATATCGTTGTCACTTGCATGGCTTTTGCTTACGTAAAAAAAGTAATAATTTATTAAACGATAATTCTTTTTGCAATTAGCGATCAGATCCGGCGATTACTACATGTTTGATGATCTGGATGACGACGACGTCACTGATCTTATTCCTGTCAGCGAGATTGAAAAGAAGGAAAAAGAACGTCGCCGTGAGCATGAACAACGAGGGAGGAGAATGACTGTTTCGGAGGTAAATAAAATTGAAAGAAACGTATGTATAACATCAAAATCATCTTGTTTTTTATTTCAATGATTCCAGTATGAAATTGAATGACTCTATGCTGTGAAATTTCTATCCCAACAAGAATTTCTTGTTAAGATTCACTAATCCCTCAATTATAGTCCGTCGAAGTGTGGTTTGGAAATATTTCGAATGTCTTTTATATTTACGTAAAAAAATTTGTTATTTATTGTATTTATAAAAAATTATATGCATATGTATATACCGCAATTTTATATTGTTAAAATAATGAATCATAAAAGATATTTTGAAATTTTCCCGAAAAAGTACTTCGAATGGACCACTATGAAATCGAATGGAGCATCTTTTCGTGTGATAATTGCAACCAAAATCTTTTCATCATATGTCGTCATTACTCATATCTCTCTTTCGCTCTAAGTCTACGCATTGTGTCAGCCCTCTTCTTTCTCTCTCTCTCTCTCTCTCTCTCTCTCTCTCACTCTCTCCTCCTCGGAGGGACCACGCACTTCCGGGCCGACAACGATGGCACGAAATCAATCGATAGAACTGAATCGTAAGTCTCCTTACAGTTGATGAACACGCTGATTAAGACAGACATTGAGGTCGCGACGCATGTCGCCATGTACGGGGGAACAGAAAAGGACGCCCTGAGACTCCGGCGTAGAAGCGTACCTTTGACACGGAAGAAATCGTCCATGTCATATCTGAGCGCTCGCTCCGAGACCGACACTGCTATGGCCACCGATGTGAGACATCCCGATTCCGTTTAAAAAAGGCTGCATGACCGCTGCGGGCATTCGCCTGCCTATAATTGTCTTTTTACCCCTGTATTTAATAATATATCGCCTTTAAAAGCCGAATTACTGAACAGAAGGCAGATCTCACCGTTGGTGAAATATCCGACACTCTTTAATGGGAAATCTAATTCCACATATGAAAAAACACATGTAACATAGCAATGAAATCACGTTAGCTTAAAAAAAATTTTTATTTGATTTTGTTTTTATCACGATAGACACTGAAATATTTATTTTTGTTTTTTGTTGAATCCCTGTTTGAGAAAAATCAACTGCAGATTGCCTCCTAAATAAGATTCGGTCATTGGCTATTGCTTTCTATGGATTCGTTTTGCACCACTTCTGTGCTAGTACATTCTTCTTGTACCACTTGTATTATTGCTTTTTCGTTCGTCCGCGATAAAGCAATCTGTTCTACTTTCTGTGCATCTCAATTTTATTCAACAATTTATTAGTTTATTTTTTGCAAATTATATTAACTTGCTGTGATGTAATTATTTGGTTATGATGCAATAACTATAACTCTTTTTATTATATTATTTTCTTCTTAACATCTCTTTCCAAATCTTTTTAATATAATTTATAAAATATTCTTAATTCAGTGTAATTTGTATTTTAACAAAAACTTTCTGCTATATTTTTAATTATTTACCGTTTCTTTTTATTAAATACAAGTTAACACAGTAACACGTAATACAAAATAATCACAGCAGCGAATTCTATAACAATGGCAAGTGGATTGTTCTTTTACATTTGTACAACGCTTTTAGCGCTCGATGATACATCTTCTTCTCTCACAAACTCTCAGCTTCGTAGAAGCAGTATTGGAAACAAATTCTTGCTGTCGTCTTTATCGTCTTCACATCGTTTAACATTATAATTATTTTTAATTAATTTATACATGTTGTAATCACAGAACAATGGTAATGGTATTTCACTGATATATATGTATATTTTATATGAATACTTACTTCATATTTTTTACATAGTCCTTGTGATCACGTCATGCTTTATTGTACGCTTATTGTACAGTAAGGATAAGTATACAACAAATATTTAGTAATTAAAGTTGAAAAATATAAATCTTAATTATAATAAAAGCCTATCGATGTTGTGCATAATTTAAATTTGAAATTATAAGAAAATTGCTTTATTTTGCTTCGACATTTTTATAGAGATACAACTTAATTCTTCAATGCACTTTACATGCACTTACGCATCTTTCTCAGCAGACTTGATTTATTTCAAGCACATGGTTACGGTTTAAATACGAAGCAATCTTTTTCAATATATAAAACTAATTGTAAACTTAATCAGGGTCCCGATCGAACGAGTCTCACATCAGTGGAGATGGAAACGGAAGAGAAAGACGCTACAGATTTGGCTAAAACACCAGAACCATCGGACACAGAAGATGAGAAAATCGAAGATAAGGACGACAAGAAGGAAGAGGAACAGAAGAAAGTCTCGTTTTCCACATACTTCAAGTTTCTCTTGGTGATGATTAACAGCACTCTAACTTCAATGACGAAATACCTAAATCGATTCTCCCACGACTACAGATATATCCGCAAGGTTTTAGCGAAAGAAAAAAAGGACCTGAAGGTAGATATATCATTATTTTAAAAAACTAAAATTAATTTGCGTGAATAATTTTTTTCGATAGTACAATAACGATTATATTTAGGCAAAACCGGACTTTAAAATGGGAACGCGATTAGGAATCAACCAAATGTGGCAGCCGATACCTCTAATGCAGGAACGGTAAGTTTGCTCTCGTATAAACTCTTACACAGTCATAATACTAGAATGTATTATGTTTATTTAACGAAATTGAGGGACTGTATATTTATTACTATTAATTCCACAAAAAATTGGGCATTTTTTCGTTCTTTCTTTTTAGGAAAATATTGCTTATTGTTTAGTTACTTTAGTTATAAAATTCTGCTTTTTAAGCGTTAACTTGTACATAAGTAGTTGCATAAATTATTTTGTACTACTGTTATTTATATGTATATGTTCGTTTAAACAAACATATACAATTACTACTTTTAAAAAAGCCAATTACTTGTAAATATATTATATGCAACGTAATAATTTTTATTTTTATTCTATTCTTTCTGTATCTTTTAATACTTTACCGCACAATGTAACATTTATAAATTATATACTCAACTTTTTTAAATTTATTTTTATGGTTGCATAACAGTAAGCCATTCATTATTTTAAAAAACTGCGGTAAAGAATTAATTTTTGGCTATTTAATGTTGCAAAGCATATGTCAAAATTAGTCAGCGTCAGAAGCACTTTGTAACTCGTGCTTCTTTGATGTCCCATTAGATAATAAATCTTTAAGAAATCACATCTTTTAAAGGTGTGTAAGTGTAAAAAAATTGATTTGAGCTATTTATAAACTAAAATAAAATACGTAGATGCTAGTAGTAAGTGTGCTCGCTGTGACAGATCAGCTACAAACGGCAATACAGAGGAGCAGTATGATCCTGGAGAAGGTCCGAGCCAACCGGAGCAGCAAGGTGAAAGGTAAGGGCTTTTATTTTGTGCGAAATGCTTTAATTAATGTATTGTGTGTATCTAGTTTCTTGTGTGTGTGCATCGAACTAAGGTGATCCTTGTACACTTATTACCAAACTAATACTAATATCAAGTTATCTTTTTATTCTTATAATAATTATTTACATTACAACTAATTTTGTGGAAAGAAGTTAACCTTTTATCAACTTTACTTGTTTGCGTTTGGCATAGCAACAATAAAAGTTATAACGTCATCATCTTTGCCTTTTTCATTTTATCTGGAACATTTTTTGTTATTTATAACAATTTGTTAAATATTATAAGGAATTTAAGTTTAATTGGAAGGGGAAAGAAATATCTAAATTGTAGATATGGCATAACTTGTTAGAATAAAACTTAGTTTTATATTTTATATTTTAATTACTATTTATATAACTTTCTGTTTTTTAATAAAAATAACTTTAAATTTGGTCAAAAAATCAAATTTAGGAAAAATTTGAAGAAGATTTAAAATTACATTTGACATGATCGAACACAAACTCAAGTATTAAACTACAGTGAAACAATCAGAGCCCTATTTTGAGAAAAATTACATAACTGAAATTATGAGTCCTTCGGAACGTGTTATCTTCGTAATGTAAAATGCATTTCATGGATAATGGATCAGATCAATTGCCGTAAGTCCCACGCTTGTGATATAACAACAATTTTTCAACAAGTACAGCCAAATTTTTTGGTGTAATATCCTGAATACATCTTTTTTAATATTTGCTTTTTTTACAATCTATTTTAATATATCTCTCCCTCAAATTTGCCATTATTATCTTTTTATCTGTGATTGGCAGAATTGATAATATATTGTGTTTAGAACCTTGATATAATTCTTTACCCTCGTAACACACTTGTATGAAATAAACGTAGAAAGAGCGTCGTGTTGTTTGTGTCAGGAAGGGGAGCTCGTTGGCGGTGCCGCACATCCGAATTCTGGCGCCGAGTTTGGAGCGAGGATTGGACATGTCCTCCTCTAGGTATCGAAAATGTGTTGTGAAACCCAGGCATCTCAATGTGTGTTCGGCTTTTTCTATTTTGTAAATGCACTGATCATACGCCTCTCCTCGCATGCGGCACTTCAGTTAAGATTTTTATATATTTAATTGCCCGCCACCTATATATTTTGCGTATTACGTTTCGTGGGAAAAAGGATCACTTCCTGACACGATGAGAGCAATAATCAAGAAAATTGGCTTGCGATGAGCGTGTGTCACTTTGACTATTGTACAACTTTGTGTAAAACTTTGATTATTGTGAACGACGTCCACTGACGAACACATTAATGTTGTCGAATATCTTCAGCGTTTTCAGGTGCGCAGATTTCATGGTTCCTGAACTGGGCTTTAAATGTGCTTTTGATATCAATTTTTCTAAGAAGAAAGATGCATCTTTATGTTTTATACATTCTGTATACTGTTTAATTTTAATATTAAAAATTATTCTTGCGTCTGCAATACAAAAATTATTCTTCTAAAATAATTTTTATAAACTTTTTATTTGAGTGACAATTTTACATATTTATATGCATATTTCTATTTTAAATACATTAAGATCTTTAATATTTCAAATAATTTTTATTTGTTACATATATACGTGACAGGTCATCTTTCTTCTATATATGTTGGATAATTTATTTAGACTACAAAACATAATTAACTTGGAGATTTTATGTATGCAGCACACTTTTCTCGCAAGCCTTGGCAGTCAAACAAGACGAAGAAACTGGGGAACTCTCAGAAGTGGATCAACCGCCCATCATACAGCTGGCAGCGTCTATCTGGTTTGGAATTTTGGCGCATTCCAGTTTGCTTTGTTACTTTATGGTATTTCTTCATCAAATTAAGAATGCGTCTGTGCTCTCGACACCATTGCCGCTTATGGTGTTCTTATGGGGTTCTTTGACGATCCCGCGACCCTCCAAAACTTTCTGGGTGACGATGATTGCATATATCGAGGTGAGAAGCATATTCCGTTAGTTTATGTTTAAATGTGTTATACAGAACCCTCGACGTAATGATCGCAATTTTTAGGCCATTGTCATAATAAAATGCATTTTTCAACTGGAATTGATTCCCTGGAATCAAAAAGCTCAAATAAACCATCCATTGTATGAGCCGAGGATTATTGGTGTTCTGAAAAGAGCCAATTACGCTCTATGGGATTTATTACTGCTCCTTATGTTATTCTTCCATAGGTACGAATAAAAAGATATAAAAATGAAAACACATACAAGAATATTTCATGAAGAATAATGCCGTATGATTGGTCTACAGATTTATGCTAAAATCCTTGGGTCAATGGACATCTGCATCTTTGAAACCACGGAAAATTATTCTTACTCAGTTAACTGCGGTGCCATCGAAGCCGCCACCTTCAGACAAAGAACAAGAAGAGTCCGACAAACAGGAAGAAACCGAGTACGTTAGAATTTCTACTTAAAAATATTTATAACATGTAAAATTTTGATGTCAATAAATGTATCATAATTATTTTTTAATGTGCTACAGTTCTCATGCAGAGGTCAAGGCAGAGATAAAAGAATCTGAGAGACGATCTTTGAGCATTCATGCATCGGGTGACGCAGATGGTTCTCCACCCATAACAGATGAGAACAAGAAGCTGGTGGCTGTACAAGGACAAGAGCATCCTCGTAGTAAATTTTCTAAAACAGACGCCATGAATATGGCGTAAGTGGCTAATTTATTTAAACATGTCTTATCTATTTAAGAATTATGTATTAACTTTAAAGTAAAACTTTTATATTTACTTGTAATATTTTACATATAATAAGTAAAAAAAGAGATAAAATATTTTTTAAAAGAAGTTTTAATATATATTTTTAGATTCCTCTCTTTATTTTATTAAATACAATTATATTTTCAAATCTTGCAGAGTCACTAAACACGCTGAACCAATGAAAAGCTTCTTTAAGAGAATTATTGATCCAGCTGGCAAAGAGAAAACTAATGTTTACGCCTACATGTTCCTTTGTGACTTCTTTAATTTCCTTCTGCTCATTTTCGGATTTTCCGCATTTGGAGTAAGTATATACATGGGGAGAGGAGAAACTTTACAAAATTATTAATATTTATATAAATAAAATTTATTATTATTTACCTAAATAATAATATAAATATTGTACATTCTTTAATTTCAGACTCAACAAGGCGATGGCGGAGTAACAGCTTACCTTCAGGAAAATCGAGTTCCTATGCCTTTCTTATTGATGTTATTATTACAATTCGCTCTAATCGTTATCGACAGAGCGCTTTTCCTTCGAAAATCTATTGTGGGGAAGTTAATTTTCCAATACTGCTTAGTATTCGGTATTCATTTATGGATGTTCTTCATTTTACCGAGCGTAACAGATAGGTAAGAGATATCACATTATTTTTCTTTTTTAACGTTTACATCATGTACAGCATATTTACAATTACAGACAATTCAACGATAATATTTTCCCGCAAATTTGGTATATGGTGAAATGCTTCTATCTTTTGCTAGCGGCTTATCAATTGCGACAAGGATACCCGACTCGAATATTGGGTAATTTTTTATGCAAAAAGTACAGCATCGTAAATTATGTTTTATTTAAAGGGTTAGTAAAATATTTATTAAATATTTTTGTTATTTATATTACTTTGATCTAACAAGTTACTTTGCAGATTTATGTTAATTCCGTTCCTCTTTGAACTTCGGGCAGTGATGGATTGGATTTGGACTGACACGTCCATGAGTGTAATGGACTGGTTTAAGATGGAAGATATTTTCGCTAGTATTTATCAAATCAAAGTAAGTTTTATAGGAAATATAATATATAACGATTTCGGAATAAACGCTATTGTTTCAATTGTTTTAATGCAAACATTTTTATTTCAATTTTCCATATAATAATATTATACGAGAACTACGAGAAGATATATAAATAACTTCTCTCGCATAAAAATATTAAATTACTTAATATACTCCAAATATATATTACATAAAAATTGTAATGTATTATTCTATAAAATTTTAGTGTATGCGAGGAGTCGAATCAGACTTCCCTCAACCTCGAGGAGAAAAGAAAAAGCAAATGAGCAAGTACTTGGTAGGCGGAAGTTGTCTGTTGCTCATAATTGGCTTAATCTGGTTTCCTCTACTTCTATTTGCCCTTGGTAGCACCGTTGGCACGTCGAACTTGCCTTACGATGTATCCATGAAAATACGAATTGGTCCATACGACCCCATCTATTCCATGTCGGCTCAAGGCAGTTCTATCGTCGAATATACGGAAAAACAATATAAAAATCTTACTACAGATTTATACGGAACGGAGAAGTCAGCTGTAACTTTTTTCGAAAATTACATCTATTCTGATGTGGCTGCAGTAAGATTCGGTACTTTCTCGGGAAAACTTTGGGATATTTCTCCACCTGATAAAGAAAGGTTTGTTTTATATATAAAAATGATTATTGCTTTTAATGATAATTAAATCTTGTAATTAAAAATCTAAAAATGTACGAATAATAAAGCCTGATTATTTAATAAAAAGTTAACTCTTTTAAAAAGGAATTAACAATATTAAATGATATATTGACAGTTTTCTTACACAAACATTTTGAAAAAAATATTTATCATTATCTATTTTCAGATTGAAAACAGAATTGGCGTCTAATACCACGAAAGTAACTGTACACGTGGAATGGACAGTCTCTAGGAGAACAGACGCCAAGGACGCCTCTGGAATCACTACGACGGTTCGTGACATAGAATTGGAACCGTTTGTAAACGGACAGTTCAATCCTATAAGACAAACATTAGTGGACATGTTAAGCGAGGATTCCGGCGCAACGAATGCGACAATAGTATTGAAAAGCGCCTTTCCGAAATTCCTTAAAGTCACTGCTAGAGATACCAAAGTTGTACCACAATTAATGCAACCGCTAAAATTGCGTAAGTATATAATTGAACGCTATCAAAGCAGACATAAAAAAATGAGACCATTATCTATACGTTTCTAGCAAGAAATCCATCTGACAAAGAAGACAGCTATCTCTACAGAAACATGAGTGTTCAATTATCAACGAACAAGAGTTGTTGTGCTCATCAACAATGGTGGATGGTTCGCGAGGTATGCACGGACTCTGCGTATACCGATTTTTTGAGCAGAATACCACTAAACAACTGCACGAATATCATGATGTTTCTATTCAACGACAAAGCGTTCCCCGAAGGCTTAAGCTTCATCAGCGGATTTGGGTAAATTTAATAGTGAAATAATTTACGTTTATATAGACGTTCTTATAACAAAATTTTACGAAGAATTATAACAATGTTATGAAATTGTTATTATAATCCATATTAATTAAAAATCGCATAACTACAAACAGGATCCTAGGATTATATACCACGGCAGTAATAGTCATAAGTCAAATGATGCGGAAAATCGTCAGCGATATGGCGCCCAAGATTATGTTCGACGATTTACCTTACGTCGACAGAATTCTTCGCCTCTGCTTAGATGTTTATTTGGTCCGCGAGAGCGGTGATTTATGTCTCGAAGAAGACTTGTTTGCCAAATTGATCTTCCTCTACCGATCACCGGAAACACTAATCAGGTTAGATTTTACACTATTTTTAGATTGCAGATATTATTAAAATCTTTCAATTTTGATTATATATGAAAGTATGATTGGTCTAAAGATGCATGACAGACATTGACTAAAAAAAAAAAAACTATTTTGCAGACAGGGTAGCAATTAACAAATGACAGTCAATGACTAACAATCAGTTAAGACATGATTTTATTTCCAGTTATAGCCGTATGCAAATGTTTATTTGAATGTATTATTTTCATAGTTATACTAATGAGACACATGCACGGAGAGAATTTTCTCTTAAAACCCCGAAATCATGGTAGTTGTGGGACAACATGTACCACCAAGAATTTTATGCGAGCTATTCTGATTAATATCCACTATAATAAAAAATATTAATATCTATTACATTCAAATATAAAAAATGTTTGATTAATTTTACTAAAATATATCTAGGAAATTTCAATAATTTTTCAAACCTTACCAATTTGCTTGGTAATTTTTACCACGTTGTTTATAAAATGTCTTTTGTATATTTTAAAAATTCCTTGGTTGCCAAGTTGTTCCAAGTTTGTAGTAAATTTAAGGGTAAAATATAACAAAAAATTCTCCCCGTGTGCACATATGTACACACAACGATGCATAAACAAGACATGAATTAACAGACGTAAATTAATAGACATGAAGAAAAAATTCATTTTTGAATAAATACGGTTGCAAAAAATTGTTTTTTTAGATGGACGAGACCGCCCGAAGAAGGAGAGCGAACTGATAACGAAGATGAAGAAGGAGAAGAAATAGCGGATGAAGAAAGAAGACAAGCGGAACCCTCATCTCATCGCGACTGAATCTTGGGAAATAACAGAAGTTCTTAAATAATTAATATTTTGTATGCGCATTGTGCGCACCAGATGATGCTACTTGGAAAATTTCAAATTTGGAATGTATTATTCCTTCAAGGTGATTTTTCCTTCAGGATGGATAAGACAATATTTATAGTGTGGAGATTATTTTTACTTTAAATTGTTAGAAAATACAGATAGATATCCAGGTCAAGATTAAATAACCAAAGAATTGGACGAAAAAATTGAGCGGTATTTCAAGCTTGAAAGATACTTTTGAATTTTGTACTATGATAAACTTATGTTACTCATATATGTAATATTTCTCTTTCATGAATAATGATTCATATTCTTCTTTTGGGAAGAATCGTTAAACTTTTCGGAAAATATTCAAAGAAAGCTCAATTAATAGATTTTGCTGAAAAATCAACTGCCCTATCAAAGTTTCGTGATACAATTTTTTATTAAAATGTTACGAACATTTTAAAAATACCTATATAAAAAAAATATATCGTAATATAATTTAGTGTTTTATCTCGATGATGAAAGTGATGTGGTGAAACAAGTTTGCGAATACTAATATCATACATATATTTTCAAATTTAAAAGAAGTTTTTGTCTACATGTAATTTGAAAATTTTGCACCAGACTATTTATCATAAAGTAGATATATTAATTATGTAATTTCCAGATAGCAAAACTTGAGTATGCAAAATCATCCAAACATATTGCTGAAAAGAATTTATATATTGCCACAAACAGTGAGTAAACATGAATCGTAGCTCCGTCTAGAATTCATAATTATGATGGTATTTTTATAGCAAAGATATATAAATTGTTTCCGTCAATAATATGTAGACTGTTGCTGAGCATTTGTGGACGCAGCTTTATTATTATTATTATTTGCGCAAACATTCGTCACAATTTAAGCACATATTTCGTAAATATAATAGGCGTTTTGCTATCTGAATTGTTCTTATCACAATTCGCTCATTTGTTACAACGACATAACTCAAAAATCTTCATTTTTGCATCTGAATTGTTTGCAAAAGAAGGGTGAACATTCAATACACTGAATAAAAAACTAATATATAACTAGATATTTTTGTTCCTCTACAGTCAGTTATTGCACCAAAATCGCATTTAAAAGTATGATATTAAAAATTTTTAATAATTCAAAACATTCAAACTTAGTTTTGGAAAATCTCGTTTTCTGAGTTGTCATTGTTGTAGCAAATGAACGAATTGTATATGTATATACAAGTATTTTATATAATTATTATGTAAATGGATTATATAATTTTTACATAATTACGAAATGACAGATTCTGTTCGATTTTTGCAGTCAATCAAATTTTACTAACAGATTTTGTTATATTTATGCTGGCATTTTGCCGACAAAATTTTTAGAAAATATTTTGCATAATCTATTTTTAAAAAACATTTTGCAATTTATTTGTTTATATTAAGTAAATTCTGTTTAAATCCACTAATTGAGGCGCATTTAATCACAAGGATTAATATTTTTTGCAAAAAGTATTTGCAAAACATCAACGGTGGCATCGTAAATTTTTAAAAATAAATGTATCTATCAATGGACACGGTACAATCTTAAAATGCTTTTATTGTCGAAGTTTGTGTGCTTAGTGAAAATATGTGTATGTTTCTAGATTATGCATTTAATTAAAATGTCTTACGATTATTCGCAAGACATTGATCATTAATTAATCGATATGATTGATTTCTCAGTCGTTTTTATACGTATTTTTAGTTGCAAAAGCGTACAGCCTTGCAATTTGGCTAATTTGCCAAAGATGTCCACACTTTAAGTATTTAATGAGAAATGTATGTATCGCAAGAAGAGAATGTTTATATTGTATATAAATATGTGTGTGAAAATATATCAGCTACTTAATGCAATTTCTTAAGACATTATTCCGAACCTATGTATACCAATTTCGAAAGTAGATGTACTGGCGGTAGTGTACAACAACGATATAACTAAAAAATTTTAATTTTCGCATCTGAATTGTTTGCAAAAGAAGGGTGAACATTCAATACACTGAATAAAGAGCTAATAATATATAATTAGATATTTTTGTTCTTCTACAGTCAGTTATTGCAAAACATTCAAACTTAGTTTTTGGAAAACTAGTGTACAGAGAGTTTCGACATACACACACAGATAAACCTATTGATAATGAAAGTTCCTCAGTAGAAGACGATAATGTTGAAAAATTATTCGAGATCGGGGCGGAAGTAGAAATATGTAGTACCGTTCAAAAAGCAACCGGCTGAAAATCAAGAAGAAGAGGCAGCGCATGCATCGACGCAAGGAACTGGATACTTGGAGAGCCGTGACGCCTACCGCTTTGAATGGTCCGATACACCGCCAACGGACGAAGAAGAAATAGAAGCAGATTATAGTACCGGATTATGGA